GGACTCAATTTGCACTATTTCTGGCAGTCTGCAACCCCCCTTTGTAATGTAACCAAAGATGTGGCCCTTGATTGAGGCACGATCTAAAATAGGATGGGCAACTTCCAATGGTATAAGGGCAACTAGATTTAGGAAGTTCATCCAAGCACTTCTGTTTCTGATTGTCACACTGAAGCTTGCTGATAGGGAGCAGCTGGATGTGTCATCTTTCAGCACTCCTCACAAGAGACTTTAACTTGTTCTCTTGGTATGGTTGCCTAGCTTTTAAGGTGGGTTTTAAGGGGTCAGATTGGGAGATGGAATATAGCCATGACCTTGTAGCTATGTGTCCCATGCAGGATCTCAGCAAGAGTTGCTTCACTGATATAACAACTAACTTTTCAAAGTTACTTTTTGTGCTTTTTAAAAACATTTTGAGAAAAATGTCAAATTTGAAACTATTTTCTTTTCAGTCCCAAGGTGGTTGTTTTCTTTCAAGTAATGAAAAAAAAAAATCACAAGCAACAGAACAGGTAATGCATAAGTATTGATAATGAATTACTTTGCAAACACTATAACAAGTAATGGAAATCTGTTTTTTTAAAAAGGGAATGTTCCGCTCTCAGCACATGTTATGGATATGAGGCTAAATGCAACTGGGAGAGAAACATTAGCATGCTCTCCTCACATGGTTTGCTCTAGATGAAAATCAGATTAAATGAACAAAAATAATGGTTGGAATCCTCTACATAACTTTACATATACTTAGTTATCTAGCAGAGGCACTAAGAAACCCTGTTAGTGGATTTTGAGGATGAATATCAGGCCATCAACAAGAGTGACCTGATGTGCATTGGCACTCTGTAGTCAGTATCCTGCAGTGCTGCATATAGGTCCTATTGTATATTGGCCCCAATGCACATTGTTTCTTTTACTGGTTCCACAACATAGTAACATAACAGCAGCCTTTGCTGGATACTGATGTTATGGAACTGTCCAATTCTAATTCCAGCAGATGCAAGTCCACTTACGAAGAAGTACCCAATATGACTCAGGCCAATAACACTAATGCAAACACATTAAGTACTACAGTTGACATCTTCCAGGGGGAGACAGGACATTGAGTTTCATCCAGGCTGAGCTGTGCTCCACCTCCTTTCTCCCCTCTCACAGGACTCACCTCCTCCCTTGGGAGAATCCATCGATATAGCCAGGTAGTGGCTAGAAGTAGCCAAGAAGCAAAGGGCTATGTCCTTATGTACAACAAAAGCATCCACTGGGACTTTCTGGAAGTCCTATGGAGGTGCTGGTGGATGATGTTATCTTTGTGTCTGGCTGTAGAGACACATTTTATGTATTTTAGCTTATTTAGTTATTGAATTTATATCCCACCTTTCTCCCATCATTGAATTCATGGTGGTGATGCTTCTCTGCCATCTTTGAGAAGGCCTTATTGCCCCACCACTGGAGGAAGGAGTGTAAAAGGGATGGGGTCATTGTGTGAGGACATGAAAACCTTTCTCTTCAATGACCATAAAAAAGCATTCTGTCAATATGTGTCACAAACAGGATGTGAGTCTACACCAGTTTTTAATTAAATAGTAAGCAGTGGAGACAGTCATATTCATGAAGACCACACAGCATAAAGAAGAGAAATCTTAACCTATCTTGGGAATTTCTGGGAGATGTGTTACATGCACACATAAACACACAGAGAGAATTTATTGGACCTGAAATTAAAATTTAAAAATGTAAAACACTTCACATTACTACCACCTTTTTAAAGTAAAAAAATCAAAGCAATTCTCCTATTTTTTTTTAAAAAAAGGCACTTAGAGAAGATGTAATTCCAATAAAATAAAATAAAATAGAAATATTTTTTAAAAATGTTAATTCACTATTTTAAAACATCTTGCAAATTTCCAGAAAAACAACTTATGGGGAATTCTTGGCCATAATTCTGTTAGGAACATACATGTGCATAAGTATCCATATGTCCTCTTTTGTATGCTGTGAGGGTTGTGATTCCCTTCCTCCCTCTACTTTAGTCCTTCAGTTGTTTTGGACTTCAGCTTCCAGAATTCCTGACTGTTGGCCAAGATGGGTGATGCTTCTGGGAGTGGAACTCCAAAATATCTGGAAGACCAAAAATTGGGAATCGCTGCCCTACAGCAAGCCATGCCGACTTACTGTAAAGTCTCTGAATCTGCTTTGCCATGGCCATTCTATGCTACATCTATGTACAGCCTCATAGCCAGATGCAAAATAATGTCATCACAGTGCTGAGATCTTTCAGGGTCCTCCAGGGGTCTTAGTGCCACTGTAATCATTGTGTATCTGGCTATGAGAATATAGTCAGATGCTTCTCCGATTCTGCCTGTATGTTGTGAAGCATGGAATGGCTGCACAGGGTAGTTTCAGGAACTTCACAGTAGTTTGAGGTGTGTGTGTATGGCTCAGTATATTGCAGGTCTGCATATGATATTCATGCTACGCCAAGGGGGATAATGAATTGAGACCCTTGTCTGGTAAGAACCTAACAACTTGGAGGAAAATCCAGCAGAGACTGATTTTTTAAAAAGTATCCCTACTTATGGCTGAATCAAACAAAGCTCTTGCCAGTCACATGTTCTTCTTAGCTGATGCTCTAGGAGCTCTGGTACCCAGATGGCTACAACATAGTGAAAGGAAAACATGTCCAAGGCTGACAAATTTTAGTGACAGATTGGCAGCTCAGCCCGTGCTGCTCTTTGCTTCCTTCTGAGAAATATTCTGTCATATTTTGACCTTGGAGACTTCAGGGATCAAAAACTCAAAGGCCTTTCAGACCATGTTGTTCAAAACCTATTACATCTCCCAATAGCCAGCAGCAGGAGTCTGACAGTAAACAAACAACGCATAAGCCCACAATTCCACATCAGCTCTTGTCTAATTATCTTGTTATGGACTTACATGAACCCCATTGCTGTAGGTTTTAGAGAACTGTGGCATGCTAGATATGCACCCATGTGGCTTTCCAACCCCCAGGCAAGTGGCTCTAGAGAGTCTGAAGATTTTATATTCATTGCACATCCATACTTCATTTGCCTACTTAGGGAAAAACTCCTACTCTGACAGTAATGTGATTTTTGATTCAAACAATATGGGTATAATAAGGCAAATTTAGACAGTGACACATAATGATTTTTATTGAACATATCAGGGGAGTGAGCACAGGTCATTGTCTTTGTACCATGTTTTTTTTTTTCTTATAGAGATGGACACAACCTAACAGTGCACTGCTGGTGGAATGCTAGAGCTCAGTGGCACCAGGACTGGGGTGATCCCCTGCCTATTGCAACTATGTACATCTGAAAACAGCACTGGAGGGCTGGAAAATCTTCCTGGACCACATTTTCAATGGGTCGGAAGCCTACATATTGGAGGCATGGGAAGGTCCTGAAGTCAACAGTAGAACTTTGGATTTTGCCCAATGGTACGTACTGGGTGGTTTCACGAGCTGGCTGAGAAACTGGGGAATAAAAGGAGGGAAGGTGTGCATATTCCCTTGCTCACTCACTTGCTCAGGAGGGCTGGGGGAAGGGGGTAGGATGGGTGTTCCCTTTTGTCCTGCCCACTGTCTCATCCCTTTCCTCCTTTTGCCAACCCAGGTGAGTGAGCAAGGGAATGCACACATGGCCAAGCCCGGCCACCCCACCAGTACAGACACTTTTTGTGCTTTTTAAAATATAGGATATTATCAGATGGGGGGGGGGAATCGGGGAAGAAAAAGGCATACTCCTGGCAAAGTTGTGCAATCATTCTGAAGATTTTCAGACAACACTGTACTTTTCCAGGATTTAACCCATGAAGATCCAGGAATGCTGGATCCCATGAATGGTTTGTTGCTGGAGCATTCCTGGATCTTCATGGGTTAAGCACAATGTGTCTGAAAATCTTCAGTGCAATCATGCGACTTTGCTGGGAGTATACCTTTTACTCCTGGCTCCCCCCCGTCTGATAATCTCCGTACTTTTTATTAAAACAAACAATTATGCATACTGTCTATACTTGACTATAAGTCAACTTCATGTATAAGTCAAGGGTAGGTTTTGAGGCCAAAATTATGGATTTTGATATGACCCATGGATAAGTCGAGGGTAAAACTTAGGGGCATGTAATGAAAGATGTAAAGGAAAAAGCAAAGGAAAACAATGCCAAAGAACTTATAAAATTCCAGCAGACATAACTGTTTGCCCTCATAATGTTGGATGGATGAGACAGAAGAAGGGGTCAGTGCTTTCCAGGGCAGATTTAACTCTTGTTTTCACCAGAGGATGGTGTGTGTGTGTGTGTGTGTGTGTGTGTGTGTGTGTGTGTGTGTATATATATGATTTAAAATACAGTACATACATTGGATAAGTCAACTCCATTTTTTGGGTCAATTTTTTAACCTAAATTTCTAGACTTATACATGAGTATATACAGATAATAAGCTACATCAATCATAATTGTAATTTTTTCTAAACACTTCTTTACGTGCACTTGCTTGTGGACACATCTTTAAAATGCTTCTAACATTTTTAGAACTTGTGATTTGCCCAAAGTCACCCAGTGGGTTTCATGGCTGAGCTGGGATTTGAACCTTGGTCTCTAGAGTTGTAATCCAATGTTCAAACCACTATGCCACAGTGACTGTCAACATTAATGGACAAAAGTTAAAAAGGAATTAAAAATTACTTGTATTAAAACTGTGCTAGAAAAGACTGAAAATAATTAACACAAATTTAACATGGGGTTTCAATTAAAGTTAAATAAATGTGTGTTTAAATGATGTGCTTAAAATAAAGGAATTAGAAAGCAGCACAACATTTACATACACACTACAGATCCATCAAATTCACAGTTCAAAAGGCTTGCCTAAATAAAAATGTCTCCACCTGCTGGAAGAAAGAAGGCAGAGTGGGGACCAATCGGGCCTCCTGTGGAAGGGAATTCCACAGCCTGGGATTAGCCACGGAGAAGGCTCTCCCCCAAATGCTCACCAATCACACCTGAGAAGGTGGTGACTAAGGCTACCTCCACACTGCAGAAATAATCCAGGTTGACACCATTTTGACTGCCATGGCTCATTGTTATGGAATTCTAGGAACTGTAGTTTTGTGAGACATTTAGCCTTCTCCATCAGAGAGCTCTGGTGCCATTTGTTGTTGTGTTTGTGTGTCTTCAAGTCATTTCTGACTGATGGCGAACCAAAGGCAAACCTGCCATGGGTTTTTTTGGCATGATTTGTTCAGAGGAGGTTTGCCATTGCCTTCCCCTGAGGCTGAGAGCATTTGACTTGCCCGAGTCACTCAGTGGGTTTCATGGCTGAGCAGGGAATTCAACCCTGGTCTCCAGAGTCATAGGTTGTACCACATTGCTGAAATAATCTGGTTTACATAGAATCCTAGACGATACCCTAGGGGGCTATCCAGTCTAACCCTCTTTTGCCACGCAGGAATACATAGAATTCTCGAGCTGGAAGATATCCTACCCCACTTTAACTGCCATGACTCAATGTTATGGAATTCTGAGATTTGTAGTTCTACTCTGGTGCCACAACTAACTACAGTTCCCAGAATTCCATAGCATTGAGCTATGGCAGTTAAAGTGGTGTCAAACTGGATTATTTTGTCAGCGCATATACAGCCAAAGTCCAACACTCAAACCACAACAAAGTACAAATCCCAGAATTGCATAGCACTGAGCCATGCCAGTTAAAGTGGTATCAACCTGGATTATTTCTGCAATGCGAATGTAGCCTAAGAGAGATGGTAATGATAGTGCTAATGGTAGTGTCTTCTTTGCTACCTGGATTGTAGCTCCTTCTACATAGTGAATATGGCTGTGAAAAGAAGGCTCAACCGTGCCTATGTTTGTCTAGCACCTCACAGAGCTTTAAGCCTTCTCACACACCTTTGTAGCAATTGACACAGAGGGAGACAACAAAAGCTACACTTCATGTGCAAGTGGAACACGAATGAGTGAGATGTGCTATTTTGCTGAGGCACTCGCTGCCATTTTGACAAGCCGCTGACAATTTAGGTCCTTTGTTCTGGGGCCGACTGTTTCCCGTGGCAAGCATTTAAAACCGTGCCATCCGAAAGCACAGCTGTGCATTAGGCTCTCTCAATCTTTCAAGAACTTTGTGACGGATGCTACAGCCTTTTTGCATTCTCCTTCACAAGCATGATTACTTTTATCCTTGTTGACACATCCCATCTGCAGGAAGCATGTCTTATGGAGAAAGTAATCCCACCAGGGCATCAGAAAGGAGACAGCCCGTCTGCTAAAAAAAACTATTGATTTTAATCTCTCCCAGAAGAAAAGAAAAAAGGGACTCAGTTGCTTGGAACACAAGTCCCTTATGAAGTAACACTCCCAACGTTGATTATATTTGTATCAAAGGGCTGAGGAACAAGAGAGAGTTTGTCCATGTTCAATTATAATCAAGGCTATGTAACCAAATAGGGTTGTGTGCTGTGTGTCTTCAAGTTGTATCTGACTTATGGTGATACTAGGCAAACCTATCACTGGCCTTTCTTTGCAAGAAGGCTTATCACTGCCTTCCCCTGAGGATGAGAGAGTGTGACTTGCCCAAGACCACCAAGTGGGTTTCCATGGCCAAGCTGGGAATTGAACCCTAGTCTCCCTAGTTGTAGTCCAACATTCAAACCACTATAATAATAATAATAATAATAATAATAATAATAATAAT